GTCAAAGAGGATGGAGAGGTGGGGAAAGCCCCAGGTGGGCTGAGGGAAGTGAGAAGGGCAGGAGCCAGGACAGCAGAGGAGGAAGAGGAGTAGGGGAGCAGCAGGGATGACAGTGTTGGAGACATGGCAGCAGAGGAGGAAAAGGGAGAGGTTTATAACTTGTGTGCCACTGTGGCACACATCCAGCTAAGCACACATGACCTCAATATTGGTGCACAAGACAACTCACTCCACTCATGAATGGAAAATGTTAGCATGAACACTGCTCCTAATACACTTTAAATGCAGAGCTGCAGCAGGGGTAGGTCCTGGACCCATCACAAACTAGGACTGACCTGGACTGCTGGCCAGCCTACTAAAAAATTTACTGGTGGTGGGGGAGGGAGGAAAATGCATGTAGTCTATAGCATTAACCTATAAGTTTTTGCTTATCGGTTAATCAATTACACGATTATATCCCTACCTCACATCCCTAGTGGAAAGCACACCAGCATATAATTCATATATCCATAGAGACACTGCATTTGTAGAGCACTGCTAACCAACATATCTGCTTTATATCTGTAAGCATCCCAATTCATGGATGTGGATGCAGACATCCATAGTTCATTTTTGCAGATACAAATTTTTGTCTAGGAGCATGCAAGTTTGTAGATAGCCATGGTTCATTTTTGTGAATACAGATGCACATTAGGGCTGTCAATTAACACGTGTTAATGCCTGTGATTAACATATTAATTTTGTTAACGCGTTAATCGCAGACATTTCCATGGCACTGCACCTTTGAAATGCTGCCAGGGCATTTCAAAGGGGCAGGACAGTAGGAGCCTGGGATCCGCTGGACTTGCCTACTGACCCTTGGGCTTCATGCAGTGCTGCAATGGTCAGCATGGGAGTCCAGCTGCCCTTTGAAATGGGAGTCCAGCTCCCACTGCAATGTTTCAAAGGGGCAGCATGTGCAATTAATTGAGATTAATTTTTTAACTGCTTGACAGCCCATAATGCACATACAAATCTTGTATCCACACAGGGCTCTATGCATTTGTTAATCAACTGCATATAGGGAGCAATGCAAATGGAAGAAATTAGTTTTAGCTCTAAAAACCCGTGTTATAGGCTTCCCAGCCAAAGGGAGCATAAATGCCAAAATTTGAAGACCCTTTGCACACGACTGTAGAAATATATAGAACCACCTCAGAAATTCTGCTGACTAGATCACAAGTTTCTCCCTGAAATGGGGCCAGTTAACAGCTAAGATTAAATTGATCCACTAACGAAGAGGTCAGCACATTGCACTGTTAGGGGCACAGAAGCAGATCTGCGAGGGCCAGCCAGCTAGACCGCGGCTCCCAAGCTAGACAGGCGTCGCTATGATTTACCCGACCAAACCCTCCTCTCGGCCTCCCCTGGGCCTCAGGCCGCGGCTGCGTTTGTGACCGTCCCCAACGCCGCCCTTGCGCGTGACAAGGAACCACGCTCCCCGCGCCCCCGGCCCCTCAGCCCGCGCACAGGCTGCATGGCGGGCAACCGGGCCCGCGCCCCCAGGGGCGGGAGAACCCAGAGGCAAGGTCACACACAGGCCAAAGGAATCAAACCGCCAGGCGCCCGGACCCCACGGGACAGCGCTCAGCTCCGCTACCAAGGCCTCCGGGCTCGAGCGGAGCTACCGAGTAGTGGGCAGCGCAGGCTGCGGGGCACCTTGAACCCACAAACTCTCGCCCTGCCCCTCGCTTAGCAGCAGAGCGACGGCGAGAACTACAACTCCCAGAGTGCACCGCGCCCCCTGCGACAAGCCGCCCGCGCTACTACGAACGCTGACTACTGGGACTGGGCTCTTCGATGGGCTTTTAAGGCTTCTCGTGATGACGTCAATTGTGACCGTTAGGGGGAGGGGGGGGAGAGGAGCCGCGCAGGCGCCGATGAGCTCTCTTCTGTGAGAGGCGGGGCGCCGCGCGGCGGGAGGGGCGCTCCACCCCCGCAGCCGGGGTTGATAAGAGGAGGCGCTGGGTGTCCGCTGCCGTCTGTTACAGGTTCCTTCCCTTGCAGGGTCGGGGCACAGGTGCAGCGCCCGGGGCCTGCACGCTGCAGCTGATTGGCCGAGCCCGCCGCTGCCTTCCCCCGCTTCGCTGGGCGGCCGGCGCCTGTCACCCGGCGGCCGGAGATGGGCTCGCGCGCCTCCACGCTGCTGCGGGACGAAGAGATCGAGGAGATCAAGAAGGAGACGGGCTGTGAGTAGCGGCTGCTGGGCGGCGCGGGCGGGCGGCCGGTCGCTCTCGGCCCCTCAGTCGGGACTGGCCGCGCTGCGCCTGGCGGCGCTAGTCGGTCTGCGGCTCGGGCTGGTCACCTAAGTTCAGGCCCGGGGGTCGGGCCCTCGAGAGCCAGCGCCGCTTCCTCGCTGTTCTCGGAGCGCGGGCCCGTCGGCCGGGCTGCAGGCTCGATCCCAGCCGCGCTGAAGCGATACCTCCCGCCTCAGGCCCTCCCTGGCCGGGCACAGCAGCTTCTGGGTGCCCGGCCGTGCTGCTGCGCCGCCTGGGGCTCGCTTCTTTCCCGCTCCGGCCCGGTGGGGCCAACTCGTCCGCCTTTGCGCCGGGTGCTCTGGGCACGACCAGGCACCTTTCCCCGTCCTGGGAAAGAACTTTCGGGGGGGAGAGAGGGACTGGGGACAGGTACACACGGACTGAGGAGACCGTCATAGTGCGGGTGTGATTCTGGCCAAAGGAGCCGACTAGATTGCAACGCTTTGCTGTAGGGAATCCGAGGCCTCTACATCCCCTCTTTCACACACCCTACCGCCTCATTATTTTGTACAATTAAAGAACAACTATGCAGGGTGAAACCCTTGCATCGTTTCTCTTTAAAATGTTATCTTGGCTGAGAAATCACCTTATCTGCAAAGGTTTTACCTGCTTTTTGCTAGTACCAGCAGTTTGTAACTCCTGGTTCTAGCAGAGTTCCTAAGGGGATAGGCCTAAACCAGCAATACTGAGATTCTCTGCTATGGCAGAGATCTGCATGGCACACTAGAAATCAGAGATGGCCAGGGAGCCTCCACACATCTGTAATTCTTTACCATAGCTTAGGCATTATGTAAGTGCTGGAAGTAAATCAGGATTTCACTACAGGGGTGGGCAAAAGGGCCTCTGCAGGCTGGCTTGCAAAGTGGGTTGATCTGGCCTGCGATCACCCTGCTGCCTGCCCACCCAATCAGGGCCAGGGTATGGGGGAGTGCATGAAGTCTTCTCCCCTGCCAGGGGTGTGTGGTGCTTAGTTAACGAATGTTAACTCCAAGTGCCTCACACCCCTTGCAGGATGGAGGCAGGGTGGGAGAATTTGTGTGCTTCCCCCTCCCCCAGACCCTGATTGGCCGGGGTCAGGGGGAGCATGTAAAGTCTTCTCCTGCCCTGCAAGGGGTACATGGGGCTTAGAGTGGACTGCCAACTGCTGCTCAGCTGGTGGTTCACTCTAAGCGTGGTGCTCCCTTGCAGGTTGGGGGCAGGGAGTGAATACATTGCAAGTGTATTAATCTCTTCTTAAGAAGAGCCAAACTTAACAAAAGCAAAGGTTAAATTAAACTGTCAGGTTCTAGATATTCTGAATGTTCATTAGCTAGTCCAAGTACCACTGCTAGATACTTGGGAATGATTCTCTGACAGGCCCTGCACTAGTCGACTATTCAAGCATCATAAGCTTATTGGATAGTCGACTAGTTCCTCAGATAGTCGCTTCTCTTCCCCCTCCTTCCTTGCTGCCTCTATCACCTGATTTCCCCCAGCACCATATCTGCCGGGGGG